TCCTATACGGGCATACGGGCATTGCCGAATGTAATATGAATGATCCAGCGCATCCAGCCTCAGCATCGAGCAATGGCTGTACTATGGCAGAAGAAGAGAGTAGAAGAGAGCAACACCCATAAATGTCAGTCGGCCGTTGTTGAACTGCTCTAAAATAGCACGAAATATTGGATGAGTAACAGACAACCATCGGCCACAGACAGGCGCATGCCAAGACATCGGACCCGCGCTCCCTGCGGAACTCGGGTTAAGATAGAAAACATCCCAAGCACCTGCTTCCTTGGCTCTCAAGACTCTCAAACCCCTCAATCACTTTTAAGAGCCCGTCGCATGCCTTCAGCCCGTGCTTACAGTGTCAAGGGCACCTTAACGCCATTCCTCTACCCATTCCTTACCGATCGATTTCTTCCCTCCATCAGATGCTCTCTCCGGTTCAAACCTGCGCTGATCCACAGAAGATGCAATATCACCATTGCTTCGCCTACCAGCGTGCAATCACCTCCCACGCCACCATTAGAAAGTCCGGCCGATGATCAAGCCTCTCATCTCAATCCTTCACCCGAATCTTATTCCCTAACGCCCTTCACCGACCGTGCTATCCTTTCCCTCCATGCAGGGTCCGGCGGTCATGGATGCGTATCCTTCGTGCGGGAGAAGTACATTGCGGAAGGCCCTCCCAATGGCGGAGACGGCGGGAGCGGGGGTAACATATATATCCAGGCTGTCCCAGGAGAGACATCGCTGCACAAGCTTGCACGAAGAGGCATGATCAAAGCAGGAAGAGGGAAGAATGGTCAGGGCAGATTAAAGGGCGGGGAAAGAGGGACAGACATTGTCATCAGTGTTCCTGTAGGAACCATTGTTAGAGAAATTTCAAGGCACGATCCTGTCACCGAGGCAGAGGAAGCTCAATGGATGGCGCAACTCGAAGAGAATACTGAGGGAGAAGCGCAGGGAAATTGGCGACGCGACCAATGGCTCGTGTTTCCAGGAACTCTGCCATCGAGACTGGCGAAAATGGAATTTCCTCCGCTACCCAAGCCGAGGAGGTCGCATCTTGCAGCGGTCCAACCTCAAGCACCTATTTGGCTCGATCTAGACAAGTCTATGGATGCTCCTATGCTGCTGGCGGCAGGAGCAATGGGAGGCTTAGGAAACCCTCATTTTATAACCTCAAATAACCCCCGACCGAAAATCGCAACGAAAGGGGACGGCGGCATGAGGTTATCCATTCAGTTAGAACTGAAGCTGCTCGCTGATCTAGCACTGGTAGGCCTACCGAATGCCGGCAAGAGCACGTTATTGAGGTCACTGAGCAACAGCCGGGCAAGAGTTGGCAATTGGGCTTTCACAACACTACAGCCAAACATTGGCACGGTGGTTCTTGACGACCACAAAGGCAGGCCGAGCGTAACTCAACGGAGGCGACATGGTGAACCTAGGGTTAATTTCACCATTGCCGACGTACCAGGGCTAATAGAAGATGCCCATCTGGATAAAGGGCTTGGCTTAGGCTTCTTGCGCCATATTGAGCGAGCTGCAGTGCTTGCTTTCGTGGTAGACCTCTCCGCTGGTGACGCTATTGCTGCCTTGAAGGGCCTTTGGAAAGAAGTGGCCGAGTATGAAGCCTTGCGTGGCAAGGAGCTGAATGCTGAGACGGAAAGGAGAATGGTGAACTGGAAGCCTCCAGTGAACAGCCAGTTCAGAAGTCAAGCCTCCACAACCGATCAGACTGCCATTTTCAACGCTTCGCCTTCACAGCCTTTGTCTCCATTATCGCTCCCACCAATCTCTTCAAAGCCATGGTTTGTTGTTGCCACCAAGGCAGACCTCCCTGAAACCCAAACGAATTACCAGAATCTCAAACGGTATCTAGAAGCCGTCAAAGCAGGCAATCTGTCTCACCCTAGTGGGCGCAAGAATGCATGGATGAAAACACTGCATTCGGTCCCCGTCAGTGCCATTCGTGCAGAGGGCGTGGAAGCCATCCCAGAGCTGGTCATGGGGTTGCTTGATGGATAACTCTCAACCGCCACTACCCCGTATTCAACCCACGCCCAGCTCGCGGTAGGGTGGTCATAGCCATCATTTTAGTCGTCAGATATGCACCGCTTGCTAAGCCATCCAACACGAAATGCTTATTTACGCGCAGCCTTATTCGCTCCTGTCGCAGATTAACTTCAAGGCTGCTGCTAAATATGTTCACCACATTGAGGCAACCGAAAAGCACAGCATTTTTGAGGAGAGCTGCCTTGTTCTTTTTAGATGTGTGTAGATGTCTAAAAGTGTATTGTTTCAAAAGATCATGGCGGGTTAGCTAATGATCTTATGTAATATATAGGCATGTACTTAGAAAAGACAAGCGACGGCTTCTCACAATATAAGCACGGCCAATCTTTCAACCATTGACATTCTTCCATTGGTACTCTCCCACTCGTCTTGCCTTGGCTCGCTGGCTTGGCTTTAAGCCATAAGTCCCAAGAGTTTCAAGAATCCCGCAAAGTGACCGGGGATATCGGTACATTCCGCACTGCGTGCTGCCTAACTTTGGTAGCAGGGCTTGGTTATCCCTAAGGCCGCCCAGAACACCCAACGTGTGCTCGGACCCATTGGCAAATCTGACATCCCCAAGCACGACCAAATCTATCCTAGACTGAGGTTGTGGGGGATCAAGCTTACTAGTGCCTTTGATGTTCCTTGATGTCAGAGCTTAACTGAGAAGCAAGGCGCAGCCAGACCGAGCAACACCAAAATATGTGAGGCGCAGACAAAGCACCGTCATGGTCTCAAAAAATATTAGGCCGCCTGGCTATTTTGCATGATTCAAACGATCGGAGTATCATGCTAACAACACCACGCAGAGGTTACCGGGCTCTAGTGCGACTATGTTGCGTGTGACGAAAATGTTCACTTTTGGGCCATCAGACTATCCCTCGCTACGCCGTGGCATTTTGGATAATTATCTTTATTTCTTTGACTAAGCGTACACAGGTCATTTGCAGCTACCTTAACTATCTGAAGCTATTCGGGGCCATAGATAAGTGACTAGAAATTGAGCAGGCGCGTTAACGACAAACAAAATGGCACAGCCAATTTCCTCTACACTAAAAGCTTATGTCTAAACTTCTAAGCGCCAAATCTCAGACATTAAGCTGTACATAGTAGTTCAGTCCAGAGAATTCTCTATTGGCAACTCTTTTGTGCCTAAGGCAACCAGAATGTTCCCGAGAGCGATATGTACCACCCACGCAGGCTTTATCAGAAGCAGCCACCAGTCACAGCAATCAGAACTATTGTTCGAACCCCAATCGGCCGTTAATGGCTTGGGGCTTTTTTTCTATGACCCACGAATCCGAGCCTGGCGTGTATCTGCCTCGTGCGGTGGTTGATAAGACAATGGCCTGAAACCAGTTTTCAGCCTTCCCCTACTACGATATATCCTCGTTTAACTATCTCTCTCCTTGAACTTTGTTTGATGTCCTTTATATGATATATCCTAATAGTTTTACATACTATTTAAATATGCTGCGGCTTTTCCAAACCCTAATTTCCCTCCTATATCTTCCCCGGGTACTCTCAGACGATATATTCCGGCCTAGCGCAGGAGAGATCATCCCAGGTAATGCGACCTATCTAGTAAATTGGAATATTACGGAATACTCTGGAGCTGGAAGTTCGAAAATTGACGGAATTTATCTTGCAATACCGAACATGACTCCTCCATATACTAGCACATTCCCGGTTCAAGCTCGTAAGCATTCTAGTTCTCCGATCAAGACTACTAATATCAACTACTAAACAGCAAACTTTATAACCATGTCAACGACCGGCTATATCAATATGGTGTTCACAGAGATCAACCCAACGAGCACGACGACGACAATACTTCTCGTGTACCAGCCCGACTGTTGCAATCAGAAAGTATTTACTCTTGGGCCATACACAGTGCTCCGACATGACACGACACCATCAACTCCCACCCCTCCAGTCATCACGCCTCCTCCTGCTCAAAGCGCCCAACCAACACAAACGGCCGCCTCAGCGACTGTGACCCCAATCTCAGTCGGCACATCGCTGAGCCCCGCACCATTCAGCCCCTCCACCTGTGAGTCCCTCCTAGCAGCATTTCTGGTTGTATTCTGGCATTTCATCTCGGTAAGCTTGTTCTCAGGCCGTCTTGCCACCCTATTACCAGTGTGCTGCGCTGATGGCACGTCCGCAGTTATCCTAGCGTCGTCTACTTTCCAAACTGTAAGATCCACGCAGCCCCTGCCTAACCCAATCACTGCGTCTGCAACGCCTACGCAACCATCGTCAAACCATCATCCCTCGGCAACAGACTTGGCTACTATATTGGGCGCTGTGTTTGGCAGCTTATTCGGAGGGGCGACTCTAGTAGTAACAGTAGCTATGTGTTGGATGGAGTGGAAGAAGCATAATACGAATCAGTCTATAGAATTAACATAATGAACGCTTTTATTTTGCTTATAACATAGTCATCTTGTCAACTCTAGCTTTGAGTACATGCTCATCCAAGTTACCCCTGCACAGAGGCCACACGCAACAATTTTAAATTGGGGCCGGCTCACCTTTACTAACCCTACTTCCATATAATTCCCTGTATAACGATTAGAGACCCTCTACAAACATGATATCTCCGACTGTTCACAACACTTCCTTTCTTGCTCTAACGGGTGATTATTGCCGAGCGTGTTTCGTATGAGCCTGGGTGACTGGGTCAAGCTAACGTTGATACACAGAAAGCTGGACAGTACATTAATCAGAACGTGGCCTAACCTCTCTACTTTGAAAATGAGGCATCGTGGGACTTGAGAAGGTAGACACAGCATTAACGATGCGAGCCTGAATTTTGACCAACGGTAGGGCTAGATAATCCCAATAGGCAAAAAACACATCTTAACTTCATCTCCTAGCCATCGTTTGCTCTTTCCTTGCCTAGTTATTGACAGTATAATGCAAAAAAATAAATCAACAGATGTTTCCGTCGCCGGGAATCGAACCCGGGCCTTGCCGGCACTTGTTAAGTGTAAAGCTCTTAATGAGAGCGGCAAATCCTAGCCCCTAGACCACAACGGATGGTGAATCGAGCTGATTTATGGTTTCGGAAAATTTGTTTCACTTATATTCACTTTGTAATTTGGCTTGATGAAGATTTTTCGCAGCGTTGGTGCCAACAAGGATGTTTTTCGTGGAGACCAGGGCCTAGGCCGAGATAACAGGTACGTAAGTTTACGCCAACCATCACCATGTCTCCATCATCGAAACCACACAGCTACCTTAGCATCTGCAACTAAAATTGAATGCTCTTTGAAATCAAAGACTAAGGTAAATATCACTACCGAAGCTCAAACACCTCCATTGGAAGCCCATCTTTGTTTTGCCTTGCCATTGCTTCGCCATCCATCATTCCATGAATATAGCATTCACCAAGAAACTTATACCAATATTTATCCCCCTCGCCGAGCGACTGTTTGATCTTATTAGTCAATTCTTCTTCTCCCTTGCAATTATCTACGAAAGTATTTCCCGCTCGAGTGGCGATTCGGCGGCCTGACAGCTTCGGCGGTCTCGGCGGTATTTGTGGCCTTGATAATATTGGTGCAGATTTACTGTCGGATTGGACTTGCTGTTTAGGCAGTTCCCGGGAAGCTCCTACTGATGTAGAGTACTTTACAAATTCTGGTTCAGGAGATTCCAGTTCGAGAGACCCTGGCTCGAGAGATTCTGGCCCGAGGGGCTCTGGTTCAAGATTATCCTCTGTGTGGCTGTTGTTTGTAGCCTCTGGTTTGAAAAAGGCTAAGACCACCCAAATACTGGCCACAATCCAACACACCAAGCGTTGGGCCTGCTGTAGCTCTGATTTGGGCTTCGTCTTCATCTTTCGCCGTTCTCCCCAGAATCTCTCCAAGTCCTTCGCCCTTTGGATCTTTACCTTTTCCTTCCGCCTGCGAAAGATTTTTAATACCGCCTGAAATTCAAGCCAGTTCACACGTGGCTCGTTCCACTCTTTTTCTTTTCCCTCTCTTTTTGCCTCGTCCCGCTTTTCCCTCTTCCAATTTTCGTAATCGAGTTTATTCTCAACAGCCACGCCTTCCGTTTCCCTGAAATACGGATTCTCTTCGATTTTCCTTCGAGTTTCTTTCCTCCACTTTTCGAAACTTTGTTTACCGCTATATTCTACCGCTCCCTTTTCCCTATAATACGCCTTTCGCATGTTCATTTCCCACTTCCTTTCCCTCTCTCTCATTTCTCTAAACACTCTCCTGCGTGTAGCATTCTTCTTCCACCGAAGAAACCATTCTGTCTTCCGATGACGCATCTCATCTGCTACCTCATCATCTATCTCGTTTGGGGTCTTCTTTTCGCTCTGCCTTAGAATCACCGGAACGCTGCAGCCATACAGGATACAAACTAGATACCCCTCATGAATGTTGCTATTCGCTAAGCCAAGGTTTCCGCCCTTCGTTTTGATGAGACATCGGTTCCAAATGACAGATTGCACCCTCCTGCAGAACTGCGCGACAACGGAGCAGCGCTCGTTATTTATTAAGTCGGTGGTACTTACAGAGCCGCTCGACAGTCCGCCTTTACTGAAAGATTCCTTGCAGGCACGAGAGTAGTAGACCGGAGGATTCTTGCCATCTTGGCCACGGTCACCCACCAGGGTGCGCCAAAATTCATGTGGAGGATCCGTGTTGGGTGCGTCGTGCCAACCACCGGCTTCAGCCCATTTGTGAGGAATGGCCCCGCCTTGAGAGAAGGGCTGAACTTCTTTGACAGTGTCAAGGACAAATCCTTCGACGTACATGCTGTAGTGATCCTTACGTTTCCTAAACTTTAGCTTCTTGATATCGAAACGCTTGCTTTCGGCAGCGTTATAGTTCCTCTGGTTCGATGCTGGTAAGCCAACAAAAGTGTCGGCATTCTTTCGGCCCATCTTCAACTTGTGGATACCTGCATGGGGAAACATGGCAAACGGCGCGCCAGAAAGCCGAGGGATCCAGGAGGGCAATGGTAGGTCTTCTTCAACCGTCTTATCTTCTCGGCCCTTTTCGCCGCTCGCTCTATCCCTGGCTTTATCTGGATTGCGTGAATTGCGCCTCGCTGGTTTTCTCTTAGGCTCTGGTGCCCATGGTCGGCAGATAATGTCTAGTGCCCGAGTCGGATCGCCACGCTGAATACAAAATTCAACAAAGCCTCTGCAGACATCAACAAAAGGCTTTTCATACTCCACTTTATACCTTTTTTGCTGTGTAAATGCCTCAAGGATATCCTGAGTATGGTTTAGTACAATGCGTGACCCTCCTTCGCTAGAAAAGGGCGTGGTATCTTTTGAAATAGCAAGTAAGGCGTATATGATGTCGTGCCCGACCGTGGCTTCAAAGATAGACAGCCTTGAAACAAGGTATTCGAGGCTTAAAAGCGGCTGTCTCTTGCCTAGCCGGGTGCCATCGGAGTGGGCTTCGGCGACAGATTCAGCGACAGATTCAACTTCGGATTCAATATCGGACCCATCGTCGGATTCACTGTCAGATCCAGAACCGGGTTGGGGCTTTGGTTTGGGATAGGATTTGTGGTGTGCGGGGCTACGATGCCTATAGTCTCGAAACAATATTCCCGTTGCTTCAACGAGCAGAGTCGCGCCGAGAGCCGAAACATACTCGAACCAGCCGGGAACGTGGTAAAACTTAGGATCCTTCCTCATGACTTCGGAAAGCCGGTGAGTTGCCGTTTCGACTTCAACAAACAGCTCCACTGCGACCGCGAATTCCCGCCAAGATATCTTGTCCACGCCGCAGTATATGACAGCCTTGCGAGCCAGCGCAACCTCTTGAACTACCCAACGCCGCGAAAACCATGGCCGCTGCATGAGGTCAAGCAGTGCGCCCCATTTCTCGCTAGATTGCTCGTCCGCGCATAGCTCGTCGAAATTTTGAAGTTGCAAGATTTCCGTTTTGATGAATTTCAGCGCCATTTCACTAGATTTATCACGCTCTCCAAGCCAGATGCATACGCGAGAGGCCCTGCCATATATTTCAGACATCATTTCAACCTGGTGATTTTTCTCTTGAAGATTGTCCTGGTCTATACACACTGCATCGATCCAGAAATAGCAATCTTTCTTTGGGCGCCGAAGAGCCCTGAGTGCGTTGAGTAGGCTGCGCGAGACATGCTTTGCGTATAGGTTTCCATCTTTCCGAATATTGATGTATGAAGTCTGTCGAGACGTGCCCCAGCACCACGACAAGGCCTCATATGGAATAGCTTCGCTGCTCTCCGTAAACTCCGTGACGACCAATTCGCATTCGACATAAGGGTTTTCTGGACTGCTGGCAAGAAGTTTCAGAATTCGAATATGGCCCCACTTGGTCTTTAGTTGTTCGTAAACACTGGAGTCATATTTCGGCGGTGGTCTGGGCTTGGGCCCCTTGGGCACCTTCTGGTCATGAGTGGCGATACCAGTTACAACGGAGTTCATTGCTGCTGGGATAAAATGATGTGCATGAGTTACTGCGAGGAAAAGGATTGATACACGTTGAAAGAGGGCAACTGCTGAATTCTTAGCACGAGTACGACTGAACGCTATGCAGTATTTATCATTGGCCTCGAAGGGCCCCTAAATTAACAGCCGCAACATAGAACAGAGAAATACAGAATTCTAGGCCGTACAACAAGACAATTCATCATGTAGAACAAGCAGATTACAATAAAACTCCGGTTTCGAACGAGGCCACGGCAGCGGCGATTAAGTAAACTAGGTTTTGCAACCACTTGCAACGCATCTATTTGCCACCTGCAGCAAGGTGCTGCTTTCAAAGCCGTATGAGGCTCGGAAACCTCTGTGTATGGTTGTAGAGTAGATCAAGTGGCTTGCAAAACTCATGCACGAACACATGAATGCCTCTGCATCTCCAGCGCATCGAGGCAACCAATCCTCTGCCTGGGCATACTTGGCCAGTCGTTTAAGGTAATGTGGGTTTAGTGACGGATTTTCGAGATAGGTCCGGACTTGGCAGAGATTCCGAAACAACTTGGTCTGTGGCGGGCTGAACCACCGGTCGAAGGGCACGTACGGAAAGCAATAGCAGGAAAAGCAGCAAGCTATCAAAAAGATCTGCGCCTGAACTTCAAATAGAAAGACAAGCTTTTCTGGGGATTTAGCTTTGCGCCTGGGACAACAAGGCCGAGGCCACGCCCTGCAGGATCGGTGGTCAAACAAGCTCAAAAGTGTGGCCACTACGCGTAGATCATCGAGTCCGCTCGTTAGCTCCGCTCATACCCTATTAGACCTATAGAACATCAATACCCGGTTATAGAGAATAATTGGTTATATACTCGTGGAGGAAGTTTTCATGGCTGGGCTAACCGGTGGTTCATTCTCGTAGGGATTCATCTAGGATATTTTGTATTTATTATGGGTTGGATGTATGGCCTCTGGAATAAATAGCCAGTTGAAATAATGTTAATAGCTGTTGTTTGGAGCCTTAGAGTATTTTAGGAGGCGTTTAGAGGGGAGGCTCAAGTAATTTGATAGGGTGTCATTCGACCATAGTCTGATAGGCTTAAGACCATTCATTGGTTTTGGTTGCTCAGATCGGATCGGTCCATGGGTTCCCGGAGCTTGTAGTGGTGCGAAGGTCGTTGATATGCAAGGACGGCTAATATGCAGGTTGAACACTTTCGATTGGGTCGCGTATGAACCGACAGATGTTGAAAGAGGCCTGATGCCCGATGCACCAGCCGGCCTGCATCCCCCATCGAATGAAACTACAAGGAACGGCTGCTGAGATCACGCACCTGCTCTGTAGTTTCTTTTGTCGGGGCGTTTGGCCCTCCCTAAAGGAGGACGCCAACTTATTGTGGCTGGGGCTTGGTTGGCGTGGTACGTGGTCTTGCTGTCGCCGGAGTAGAAAGTGGGGATATTTGACATCATGCGTAGACATGAAACCCAAAGAGAGGCAGGCTTTATTGCATTGTTGATCATATGGCCAGATGATGCTTTCCCACAACTAGCTGGCACTGTATTTCAGAGATTATAGCCCGATGTAAACCCCATATATGCACAGGGGTGGATA